TGTTGTCCTAGTCTCTTCATTTGCTCTCACATCAATCTTGTGTGAGCCTAGACCCCCTTTGGACCAGGTCCTGGGCTTGATCTGGACTGACTGACTGGTGTTTCTGCATAAATCCATACCTGCAGGTTGAAGCCTCCCAGCCATGCAGCATTCGAACTGCCTATCCCTGCGATCTGCTGGAGGAAGCTGTACTCTCTGGGGTTGGTGGCCGAGGCCAGGTGGGCACCCAGGATGTTGCAGTGCTCCTGTCAGACAGAGGATGCAAATAGGAATCTTTGTGACTAAACAACTAAATAGTTGTTTCATTTCATTTCTGCATTTTCTTCCTCCAAATGAGTTGTCTTTAGCTTTGATGTGAAAAGCTCATCTTTTCATGGACTGATGGTGACACACTGACTGACCTACTATCACCATCCTGATGCTCCATGTTGTGGAACATGTTGCATTCATCATGTGTGTCAATGGTAAGTTCTACACTCGCTTAACTGAATTAATAACAAAGTCTATCAGATGACAGTATAAGCTACGACTTCAACCACATTGTTCACAGTGTGTACAAGCTCAGTGTTCTCACAATAACAATGTATAAGTGTGATAGTAGCAGTACCTCAGCCCTGTACCAGCTCATGGGAGTAGAGATGAGCCGGAAGCAGCGAGAGCCATGCTGTAACCAGCCGTCTGGACAGAAGTTGAAACGAGCTACAGACAGACAGAAGAGAGAAAACACTGACTTCAACAGAGCAGTTTCACTGACTGAAGTACACAGATAATAGGTCCTTTCTAATCTAACTGTTTACAGCCTCCTTCAGCAGAAACAGCTGTTGTAATGACACCAACATCTGTCTGTATGTATCTGATATATTTTGGAGAATACTTAGTAGAGGAAAAACAAAGCTAGTTGTAGTTAAAAGCCTGATGTGCAAAAATACTGCTATGGTTCTTTAAGCACAGTTGTGATATTTGGAGAGGTGTTCTTTCTATGGTGTTGTTGTTTCTATGATGACCTCATTAATGAAGGAACACAAAGGAAAGTTTGAAACAGTGATGTGGCTCTTACATTCAGGTGCTGCTGCCTCCTCAGACAAAGGTGCTGAAAAATATAATAAATAAACAAATAGAATATTTTACATAATGGGAATATCCATACATGCAATATATTTCATTGTCAAAATATGTTAATATGTGTGTTTAGTTTTCTTATTATGAGCATGTCATTGTTTAAAAATGTCTCATTGAACCTTTAGTACAACAACATAAATGTGAGAATAACTGATTATTAATAGCAGCTACACAATATATTGTTAAGAGTGACGTGTGTCCTTTGTGATTACCGTTTCTGGGAACAGAGACAAATTCTTCTGGCACAAATTCTTCCTCATCCTTCATCATCTTGTCCATCTCTGAAACATCAACAGATTCATCAGAACTCTTTTTAGTTGAGAGTTTTTGACATTACAGAATGTTGCAACTACAAAATGTCAAGCATGTCCAGTGTAAATCATATTAACATGGAAGTGACAAAAGTTAAAACCAGTCAAAGCATCTACAGCTAAGCAGCTCTGTGAGGCTGTGTTTAGACACACCTGTGCTTTGACAACATCAACATGCTAACATGCGGATGTTTAGCAACTATGTTTACCATCGTCACCATTGTAGTTTATCGTGTATCATGCATACATTAACAAATTTGGCCCTCCACCTGTGCTACACGTGTGAGTAAAAAAGAAGGCCTATATACAAGTTCTGCTCTGAGCTACTCTCCCGTACTCCAATTTTAATACCTTTATTCAAAATGAATCTAAACAAAAGAAGTAGGGGGAAGGTACTGGGCATGCAGGTGTGTTTAGGGCCTGGCTATTGGACTATAGCCACAGGTCTTTTCTTACTGCCAAAATTTTGAATATGAATATGAAGTATGAGCTCAGACAACCACTGAATCTAGTGTAGTAAAGGTAGCTCTTCCTGCCCCACCTCTCACATGTGACTTCTGACACACACATAGTGTTGCCAACTTGTCTGCTTTCACACTGACTTGGTAACTTTTCTGATGCTTTTAGCGACTTGCTGCTCAGAGTGAACTCAGTCAGCAGCTCCTCTGGCTGCAGCTAAAGTTATATTACTGATGCTTGAGATTATTGAATCAGCTACAATGCATCATCTCTGGTCTCTCCTTCTTCATCTGTTTTTTAATGTACTGTTGCAAGCGAAGGAGAGTGAGCAATAGCCAGTATGATGTTTGGTGGTTTACTTACTGTCTCTGTGTGTAAAGCAAAGACCTTCAATACTGACCTGGAGCCTTCTCTTCGTTTGTCTTCTCTCCCTCTGGTTGTGGAGCTGCAGGTAAAAACACAACACTGTCAGTGAGATTAAATGTCTGTCAATCAATC